AAAAAGGGGAAGGGGAAAAAAAAAAAAAAAAAAAAAAAAAAAAAGGAGGGGAATGGGGGGGGAAAAAGGAAAAAGAAGAGGGGAGGGGGGGGGAAAGTTTGCACCAAAAAAAGAAGAGTCCAAGGTGAAAGTTTCTTTTTTTCCCCTTCTCTTTCCTCCTGGGGAGGGGAAAAGAGGGAGGAGGAGGGGAGGGAAATGTCTCTTCTTTGCTCCTTTGCACCAGTGACTTTAGGCTTCTTCCTTTCCTTCTTCGGGATTTTCTCTTTCTTTCTTCCCGGGAGCTGCTCGGCGTGCGCTGCGCGCACACGCACACCCGCGCACGCACTCGCGGAAAAATTAATAATAATAAAAAATATATAAACCGTGGGGAGGGGGGGCCGCAGGGGGGTAAAAAAAAAAATAATGCAACAAACCAAGCCCAGAAGTCAGCTGTGACGGGGGGGCAGTCGCCGCGGATATGGGGAGCCTGTGCCGCTCGGGTTTGAGTGAGTTGAAGTTGGACTGAGAGCTTTTCAGTTCAAAGGCGGCGCTGATTGACAGATAGAAAAAGGGGGATCGAAATCCGGAGGAACGGAGAAGTCTGGGATCCGGGATTATTGACAGGGAGCGAGAAACACACCAGGCACTTAATGAGATGCAGGAGGGGGCGGGGGCTCCCCGGTGACGTCTGCATAAATAAACAGGTCTGGGGCGCGGGAGGGGGAGGAGGGTGGGGGAAGTAGGAAACTAACAATGATCCTTTTTGGCATGGGAGCGGGAACGCGAGGGGAGGGCCGCGGGGGCGGGGGCGCCGCTGGGGGGGCCGGGACGCAAAAGGGGTGGAGGGTGGAAAAAAAAAAAAAGAAAAAAATTTTTTTTTTTTAAATTGGTGCGCTGTAGCGCAGAGCTCCGGGACGGGGGGAGCGAGGGGAAAAGCACCCGAACGGGTGTCCCTGTCTCCGCGCTCCGGGAGCGCCAACTTTTATATTCTGGGCATTAATAAACATATCATTCCCCCGAAGCCCGGGTTCTCCTGAAGGATGTGTGTGTGCCCTTATTATTTGGGTACATGTGACGGTAGGGTGGTGGGGTGGGTGTTTTTTTCAAACCGTTAACATTTTTCATGCTTCTCGTTGGAGGTGAGAAACTCCAATCATAATAAACACTAGAATATAGTAAAAACCTCTTTTTTTTTCCAGCAGCACTTGCTCCTTGCATTTATTATGGTTATAACACGCAGGATGAAAATGTGCGAGATCACTCGCTGAAGATCAGATATTTCCAAATTATCTTATAGTAAGGCATAATGTTTTCTGGTCCTTGATGTAAAAAAAAAAAAAAAAAAAAAAAAAAAAAAAAAAAAAAAAAAAAAAAAAAAGGAAAGGAATGTGACTGCTAAGAAGTTAATTAGCATGGCAGGACGGAGAATCAAGGACTCCCAGACTTCAGAAGTGAAAAGTTGTGGTGGCGTAAACATCACGCTGCTGGGGGGAATCAAAGTGAAAGCGGCTGGTCCCCGCGGGGGGGGGGGGGGGGGGGGGGGGGGGGGGGGGTCCGGGCGCGGGTCCCCGCGGGGTGCGGGGGGTGCCCCGTCCGCTCCGGGGTTGCGAAAGTCACCGGCCGGGGCTCTGCCTGCACGGCAACAAAATGGGGAGCAGAGTCATGCGGATGCAAGAAATGGCATCCGTTCCCCCGAATCTAATGTGGCGAGGGGGAAGGGGGAAACAAATTGATCTTCCAGCAGTGACAAATTGTAACAATGGACGAGTCAATTGGAAACTTTAACATGGGCAAGGAACAAAAGGAGGGGAGGGGGACTGGGGGGGTGGGGAAGACAGTAATTTCAATGGGAATTAGTAAATTGCCTAATGGAAATGGTGTTTGAAAGCAAGGGACAGGCTGTACTAAATAATCCAAACATTCCTCCAGAAATCTAACCTGCTGCTCATGCTAAGGGTCATTCAGCACATAGGGTTTCCAAAACAAAGCCAATTTGTCATGCAATATTTAGAGAGTTTGGGGGGTTCAGCTAAACTGTCTTGTATAAAAAGAATAATAAAAATAATAATACAGAGATCGACAAGGCTAACACGAATTCTCAGGCATTAAAAAGTTCACATAGAAATTTGCATACTAAAGGGAAAGATGCAGACAAAATAGAAATAAAAAAATCACTGCAACTTACAACTTTAATATTAATCAGTAAAGCAGAAGTAGAGTGAAAGGAAGCATGAAAAGAAGTAAAACAAATGTGTACATTTAATCAGACAGGATTGCATAGGACACAAAGAACAGGGCTAATTAGTCTCAGCAGGTAGGGACTAACCTTCAGACTTCATAAATAAATAAGTCTGTGAACAATGTCTAAGTGGGAATATGGAGACAGAAAAGGGATTATTTTAAGACACCAAGTAAAAACATGACTAATGAAATACTTCACTGTTAACTCAATGTACAAATGCATTGAACAGTTTCTTTTTCCACTGGTCTTTTGACTAACTTGCTTTTTACTTTCAGAGATTTTACTAAATAACTGTCTGTGGGCATGCACACTCCCCATTTGCCCCTGATTATGCACTTACTGTCGTTGCAAACTAGTGCCTTGCAGAGTGACATCTTAACAAATATTCTCCATTTTTGTTTGCTTTTTGATTTTTAAAATGCCTTTATATCCCAGAACAATATGAGATTAGAAATATAAATGTGACAGACTCCTATTTACTTTGCAGGGCCATGTGTTATTATTTGACCCAAATGAACAAAAACAGTTGCACAGTTTTGTTTTGTTTTTCAAAGACTTTTTCACAACCTGCTATGAATTTTTTCTTAAACAAGCACGCTTTTGCTTCAGTCCTGTTGTAGTTGCTAACTACTTAGTAAGCATTATCAAAAGCTGATGTGCAAGACAAGACAGACCCAGTTGTTGCCCAAACCTGGTTGCAGAAGGTAGTCCTGATTCTGTAGAGTGTCATACGTTCAAGTACCATCACTGACAGACTATTCGTGAGGGTGATGACACACCTGAACTACTCATGCAAGTAATGTTACTCACATGAGTAAATATTGGTAGAAAGGAGCTTGGCATTGTTTTTCTCAGTGCCACGTGGTGGTCCTGGGTGTAGAAGATGGCTCTGGAAAGCCCAGAGCTGTGGAAGGTGTTTTCTGGGCACGTTTTCACCCCTGGAGTTTTGTCACTGCAGTGGACTCAGAGAAGCCCCATGAAGGGCCGGGAAACTGCTTTCTAGTTTTCGTGGCAACATCAAGTTCTTGCTATTGGAAACTTCCAGAGGTTTGTTTTCAAACTGAAGCTTAGTGTGGTTGTGAAGTCCAAGGATTGCAGATGATTACTAAACCAATAGGGTTTAATTAGGTAGTACAAGTCACTTTGGATAATTTATGCACCTGATTTGTATCACTGCCCGTTATGTAACAGGTCTTGTTTCATTATGGGGGAAATGAGAGCTCTCCAGGGTCAATAGCATCTGTTGAGTAGTATGTTCTCAGGTGATACTTTGAATTAAAAAAAGTATAGTGTGTAACAATGAAAGAAACAAAATATTAAAAAGAAAAAAAAAAGGCAAACTAATCCATGACGTGAAAACTAATTTATTGTTTGAATACCCGATTTTAAGTAACAGCCAGCAAGACAAAGCCAGGTGCTCCAAGTTCAAGAGATGTTGGCTTTCTTGCCAAAGCTGACCTCTAGCACAGATTAAGTGCCTTTCTCCAGGGTTTTGCAACTCTGACAACTTGGTACAATATACCAAATGCTGAGCGATGGGGTTTGGTTACTGACAATGGTGTCACCATTTTACACTTCAGCCCCACATTTTGCTCCCAAGAATCCTGCCGTCTCATGAACAAGAACAGTGAAAAGTCAGGTTCACCTGCCAGTTCACGTTGCCATGAAATGAAGAGGGAAGAGGTTGACTGGGGCTGCCAAGGGGATTTATTGTTTCACAAAAAATGTTTTGGAATCTTTAATGTCTCACCAGAGGCCCAAGTCTCTATCGGAGAAATATGGCCTGCTAACTGCCAGCTGGATCTCCTGAGTAATGTTTACATATTTGGGGTGAGTCATCTGTTTTCATGGGCTTCTCCAAAAGGTCCCAATGTAGGTTTCAATGTGTAAAATTCAAATTATTTATTTTGGAAAGATAGAAGGACTTTGATTGACCAGGATGGGATTTGAGTCTACAGCTCAAAGGAGTTCGTATGTTTACAAATAATCTTGGATCATTAAATCTGCTCTGAATGTCAAAAAAAAAAAAATCAATATTGAAAAGGATCCAATAACTTGAAGCAAACACATCTGCCCAGTGTCTTACCAGTACTGGCTCTTCCAGAATTAGCAGAGGGGAAATTTTTTCTAGGGCAGACAAGATGACAGCATGAAAACACAGAAACCGTGGCTCCTGTCTGCAGTCACTTGCATTGACGGAAACAAGCACATAGCTTCGAGAAAGCTATCAAATGAGAAAATATCAACAAACAACCAAATCGTGATGCTACTGCTAGATTTCTTTGTGGCTTTAGATTTTGCACATACTGACCAGGTCACAGTGTGTTATTTGAGCAATAAGGTGGGCTTTCTATTTGCACTTGATGGAGAAACATTGGAAAATTGGGCACCAAAAAACTATTCATTGTTTTTCAATCTTTTAACGCAGACTGATGTCTCTCAATCCATGCTCTGCTTCCCAAGTCATGGCTATGGCTCAGTAGGAACATACCTCCCTTTTAGCACCTAAACCACAGCTTTACCTCTTGCTTTTGTTAGAGATAATTCTGTCAAATAATAAAATCGTTAATGGGTAGAAATATGCATTCATGCAGGGATTATTCACACTTTATCATGAGGTGATATCAAGCACTATAGGAGTGAATGACAAGAAATAGGCTTCTGAAATTCAGAGCCCTCCATAAATATACCATTTTTATTGACAACACATCTTTTAACCCTAATAGTAATGGAAGAAATCCAATAAATGAAACATTTACTGCATAACTTGCCTTATTTTCGGGAGGTGTCTGATTCCTTTCTAGCTGTCTCTAGAAGATGTTTTTAGCCTAATTTGCTCCCTAGAAATTTCACTCACTAGAGTTATACATCTATGACGTTTTATTGCCTGAAGCCAAGTCTGAATAAGAACTTTCTTAAGATATACTTATCCTAATGTCAGTCTACAAGAACTGAGCTGCTTTAGTTTGATTTATTTGTGCAACGGAGATATATGTGCACCTATATAGCTGGCTATTGCCTCAAAGTGGATCTAATAATCCAAACACAAACAAATAAGTGGAACCAGCAAGTTTAGCCATGGTTAGTTGTAAATAGACACTTTTAAACTAATCAGCTCAGATTTATATTTATATGTCTCTGTTTTCCAAACCAACCAAAGCAGTAGTCCATTGCAAAACACTCTCATTTCACAGGGAAGGAGTTGAGTGTATGCGTCTATATATATATATATGGTCACAGGCAAACATCAAGCACTAACCAGATGCAGTATGTTCACCTATCTAAGAAATACGACATGGCATTTAAGGACCTGGAGCACGGACGTCACTGGTTGAGATTGTGGACCACTGCCTGGCTGGTTCCCTGGGCTCTGGCACCCACATGGGCAGT